GGTACATATTTAATACAGATAATTGTGAATTACTACAAAGGTGATATTCATCGACCCAATTTTTAGTAACCCCTCTGAACCAGTACTAGTATTCCTAGACATTTTGTAGGCAAAGTAATAAAGTTTTCCTTAAGGTATATGTGTGAGCCTTGGAAAGTGTGAAAAAGATATATAATGATAGAACAATCGCTGCTATCAGATGTATAAATCAAAAATAAAATTTCTTTATTAGAGACTTTTAGGTGTAAATAGAATAATTTTATGGTTATAAAATTATTAGTTACTTTATTTCAAGATCAAAAAAGCATCCTTAAATATATTTCAATGTTACAATCTTTTTCAAATAAATAAATAAAATAAAATACATAAGATATTATATATATATCTATATAAGGCTTAACCTTCCAGAAGACATATGTATAACTATATAGTAAATATAAACATAATAAAATAAATGGAAAAGAAATAGTAAATAAATTCCTTATATACCAAATTAATATATCCATAACCCCTTGTCAATCACATATGGTAATATTGAGATAAACACTATTAATAATATTATTTATCCTTGCGAAACCCATATGGTTTGGATGATCGGTACCCTTGATGATCATAATATGTATCCAAAGTCATGTAACAGGTTAAGGATCCAAATTATTACAGATTAACATTTTTTTATATGAAAGTTCTTGACATAAGCTTCAAAATAAATATTTATATATTAAATAATATTATATATTAAATAATATTATATATTAAATAATATTATATATTAATAAAGATATAATTATTTTAATTATTTATAACTTTTTTTGCTGATCCCTTTGCCAACCCAAAAAACAAACGTTCTCAAAAATATTTCTTTATTTTTGATAATAAAGTCTATATACTCTCTTTAAAAATATTATTTCCTGAAGGTCAGTGCCTTTCTTATTTATTTACTTTTCCTTCTTCTAAAAACTTTGGATGTTTCAACGACAAAATAAACAAAACTTTACCTATTTGGTTTATGGCAAAAACACCTTACTGGAAAAAAAAAACCTATCGAAAAAACACCCTCCACTATATTCTCTCTAGGTCTGGAACTTCAGAAAGTGAATCATTAGTAAATGCATTTCCCAAGTTCCATAAGAATCTTGGATCCATCATAAGTAAACAACCTTCAGTCTAAAGGCAGATAGATAAGCTAGTTGGGTTTATCAAGCAAATGTATTTTCCAAGCACCATAAGAACCTTGGGTCTATCATAAGTGTTACACCTTACTATAAGGCAGGTGGATAAGCTAATAGAAACCTATCTATACATGTGTATGATCTTTCTTTACCAGTCATACATATGGTGATAGTACTTTCAAGCATGGTAATTTTTTTGGATTTTTTTTGAGAAATTTTGCTTACCTCAGTTTGATCCTGAATTTTTTGTTATGCCAGAATCTCTGATTGGTGATAGGTTAAAATTTTGGAACTGATTGATCGACACGTAAAAGAAAATTAAACAAAACATATATTCCCATGTGTTTCATGTCATACCACACTATAACCAATGATGTAATTGGATAATAGCGAAAGAGCAAGACGTTGAGATATCCTTTTGATAAGAAGTGGCTTGAAGTCCTCCCCCTTCCCTTTTGATGTGGTTTCTTTTCTCTTTAAGACCAAAGAAGGTTCTTATTAAATTGGTGATTGGTTTAGATGAGTTTTTATTTATCAGCATAAACTTTTCCCTTCCCTTTATCACTCCTTTATTTCTTAGAAAAATAAAAATTTTTTTTTCTTAGGATAATAAGATTGTGTTGGAGTAACAGTTTAAATATAGACTGGCATTGATCTCTTGAAGTGAAGATCAAAGGTATTCAACTTTAGGAAGAAGCAATTTTATTATTCTCCACAATCATATCTAGAGAGTTAGGATTTGAAAAGTCTAATATAGTTAGTATCATATAATAATAGCTTAATGAACTTATTCTCTTATAACGAAATAGTTAATGAATAGCTAGATTATGTGGAATATGGTGATCTTGGTATTAAGGATTCAAGGATTATGTACAAATCTGAAACTTGTTGATGAATGTTCTGTTATAATAGATAATTTAGCTATGTATAATGCCATATATGGTATTATTGTTTTTCAAAATGAATTAATAAACACATTAATAGCAGTTTAATTAGAGGGAAAAAAAAATAATTATTTTAATTATTTTAAAAATTTTAAATTCAGAAATTTAAATCAATAAATTTGTGACAAAAAAATCATATGATTAATTAATATCATATGATTTATATGTTTAAAATTCAGGATTATATTATCAGAGTAATAAATATACTATATATCTTAAATTTTGGTTCACTTTTAAAAATAATTATCCATATAATTTTTAATTTTTATATATTATTTAAAATTTTAAAAAATAAAAATTTTTAAATAAAATTTATATTATTTTATTCTTAGGTTTTAAAAAATAATTAAAAAATAATTAAATAATTTAATTATAAAATAAAATATAAAATCAAAAAAATTTCAAATAATTATAATTTATACTGTATATAATATTAAAATTAATAAAGAAAAATTTAATTAATATTATAAAATAAATCAACAAATAAATTAACAATAATTTTAATTATTAAACTTATAATTTTATATTCAAATATTTATATAACTAAGTTTTAATAACAAATAACAAGAAATCAAAAAAACAAAATATATTAAATAAAATATTTTCTTTTTTTATTATCATTTTATAAAATCTTTAATACAATTACAAATTTTCTTTTCAAAAAGATTTTAAATAAAATTGTATAGTTATTTAATATTATTTAATGTTATTGATTTTAAATCTTTTTTGATATATTAATTAAATAATTGTAATAAAATAAGTTAATATTTAACTTATTGTATGTTTTTTATCAAAGATCTTGTTTTTTTTTACAAATATATATCTTGTATATAAAATAAATAAATACTACTTTCTTATTTTAAAATAATAATTAACAAAATAACAAATTTACATTAATAAATAAAATAATAATAAATACAGTATATCATGATTTTATCTAATCTAATATTATTAATTTTATAAACCAAATGTACCCTAAAAAAAAAAGTATTATAGTCAAGTGTACCCTAAAAAAAAAAAAAGAATCATTGAAATGTCTCGTGTCAGATTCGAACTGACGACCGTCTGTGTGTTAGACAGACGTGATAACCAACTACACCAACGAGACAATGGTTAAACAAACTTTTTTTGATTTATCTAATAATATTCTCGTGATAAAAATCAAATAGAATGCAAAGATGAAACATCACAAATTCGAAGAATCAACTCAAGATAATAAACCGAGAACAACTATAGTGAAGAGACGCAAAATATCATTGAATTCCAATACATTCTTATTTTTAAAAAATATAAAGTAAATTACACAACCTAGATTTTATGTATTCATAGCATTTCCATTATTCCAAATAAAGCACTGACACTTTCTCCATTATGCATTCTCCTTATTGCTTCCGCAAACATTGGAGCGATGTGAAACACTTTTATTTTTGAACATTTTTCCAAATGTTCTTCTTGAGGAACACTATCACTCACAATGACCTGATCGATGACACTTTCCTGTATTCTCTGGATTGCATCGCCGCTCATAATTCCGTGAGTTATAATTGCGTATATTTTATTCGCACCGTTTTCACGAAGAACCTTGGCCGCTTTAGTAATAGTGAAAGACGTGTCCGCAATATCATCAATAAGGATGCAAACTTTGTCCTTAACTTCACCTACGAGCATCGTATCTGATTTGTGTGGTGGAATTTGAGATCGACGTTCTTTATGAATGAGAGCAAAATCCATGCGAAGTTTATCGGCAACGGCAGTTGCTCTAATTAAAAATAGTAATGAGAGGATAAATAACATAATAATTTATCACCGACATACCACGATCTCTCGTGCTCAGCACATCGAGGCGATTCATAATAAACATACCTTTTGGCACCACCAGCATCTGGGGAGACAATTACCGCTTGTTCCCAATTTGGAAAATTCTGTTTTATGTATTTAACCACGAGAGGTTGTCCGTGCAAGTTATCAACGGGAATATCAAAAAATCCTTGAAACTGGGGATCGTGAAGATCCATAGTTATGATGTGATCAGCCCCTGTTCATATAATGTAGAATGAATTGAATAAATAAATAAATGTTAAATGTTCACTTTATACAAATACTCGTATATCAGAAGTTTACAATATCCACCTGCGCACGTTAAAAGATTTGCGATGAGCGTTCCAGACCGAGCAATCCAATGTCTGTACCCAGTACCACGACCAAGGGTGGGGGAGGCCGGAGACCGCGGCGAACTACCATCGAACGATCCAGAATTTTGCTCCGTTACAATAAATGGATCCTTGATATCGCTCGCAGGTGTTGGTGGCGTTGAATCTCCAGAAGGTGCGTTGTGAACATAACCCATAAATGCATTTCGAGGGAACCGTGATAATGGTGCACCGTTTTTCTTATAAGGAACATCGGGTTGTCTTGCGTACGGGAAACAAGGTATTACAGCTGTCACCTTCTTGGCAGATGCAATCTTGCACGCAGAGACCATGATCAAAAGTTCCATAAAATTATCATTTACATGACCGCAACCCGATTGTATAATGTAGACATCTTTTTCTCTAACGCTTTCATGGATTTCAACGTTTGTTTCTTGGTTTGAAAACTTTGACAGTTTTACTTTTCCAAGCTGTATGCCCAAGCGAGAAGCAATTTGTTCTGCTAAATTCGGATGTGAAGAGCCTCCAAAGATTACAATATTTCGCATCTTTAATAGATTGTCGGTGGATAAACTGATGTATGTATTCATGCATGCAGACTATATTTTCTAGAATATAGCAATCTAGGGTATAGGATAACGACGTCATTAGTTTCATTACTAATAATTGATCTACAATAATGGAGTTATACAATGGACTAACCAGAAGAAAAGTTTGCAAAAACGTTACGTTAACCAAATATGGACACGAAAATGTTATTCCGAGTTCAACCACCGGAGTAATGCGAAACACAACTTTTAACAACAATTGATAATGGTTAATAGGAGAGATGAGATGCATGGCTAGAATGGCATGATTATATTATTGGCAAATTAAATTATTAGTGTATAATATCTGATATTAGTTCATATTGGTTTGGATCGAATCGCTCATCTATGGTCAACCATTTTTGGTGCAATTTTACCCAGGAATCCTCCAACCTTGTTGAAATACGAAAAAACAGTTTATTAAAATCTTGTGCGAGTCATTCGAGTTATGGGAAGAGAAATGCTTACTTACAATGATAATTTTTTTTGCCAAGTGAGTTCATCGTCGATTGATTTTATTCAGTGGTGAGGGAAGAACAAACCTCGCGATGTTAGAGGAATACACCCTTGCAATATATCATTACGCAAATCAAATTGGAGATAAACTGTTAATAAAGAGTACAAATCAATAATCTCAACGTTATCAGTGTCCACTGAATGCAATCTTGTATTTTTGGGATACAATTTAATGGCATACTACAAGATCAACTTTCTCATGTGTATTTTGAATTCCAATTAACCACCTTTCGAAACAAAATCCAGAAAAACACTAAAGGTATTTTTAATTATGAAAGTTGTGACCAAACTCTTCGAGTTTTCATCATCACCATATTGAAAAACATAAACTTCTACAGATTCTCGCGAACTCTAGAATTCCTTTCTGTATAGAAATTAAGGATGGTGTAGAGTTCGGTAATGATGTCGAGTTGATCATCGCGGCAAATTTTCATCACCGTGGTAAATTCTCAAAGTATTATTCAACAATTCCAATAGTTGATCATCTGTAACGTTACCGCGGCTTTTGACAAGCAGCTGCACCGCCGCCGTTAACCGAGACTTCTTGACTTCCTTTCGTAATCGCGAGTTCATAGCTGCCTGCCTTGCCTCCTCGTCTATGCATAATAGATCTTGAGGGTCATAGATGGGCTCGTCATATTCACCAGGTGGACATTGTGAAATCTCGTGGTGCAAAGAACGTCCTCTTTGAACAAGCTCCCCTCCGGGAACCAAGTTTCCTAACAAATCCATTGTCGGCAGGTCACTATATTCCGGTAGTTTACCGCCGGGTAACCCTCGCAACAAATCATTTTTTTTCATCAAAGGTACATGAAAAATATCATTGACGTGAGATTTTTTGTTGCTAAAATGAATATGAGCTCCTACTTCAGCATGATTAGTGGAGAGACTTTGAAATTTTTCGTAATTTGGATAGAGCATCACATAGCCACGAAGATAGACGAGCTCTATGAAAAATCGTTTCCAGGAATTACTCCATTTGTTTGAGCGACTCTCTGGAACTGTAATGTTTTGCACCCTTAGACCATTCCAATCTTCTAATCTCGCGATAAAATAACGGTGGAATTCTCTCCAAACTTCAGGAAAGAATGCGGCACCCCAACTACAAGGAACTTGACCGAGATATGGTGAATATGAAGGATAGTTTGTACCCTCAAAGGATGATGAGGGATTGAACGGTTGTCGTCCGGTTAAATGCAACTCGCTAACCCTAGTGCTATAAAGACTGACACCGTACATTCTTCCGACCAGAGTGCGATTAGTTCCGTATCTATATTTCAAGATGCTATACTTTGTCCAACTATAGTAGAACGGTGAAAGTTCCACGTCGTCTTCAAGCAGTATTGCATAGTCGTTATCATCAACCGGATAATAAGATTCGACAACAGCCGCCATTAATCCACCCTGAACTATGCGATGACGAACATTCTTTCGGCCATTATTCCATCTAAGCGTTTTACAATACTCAATTGTGACGGGGTCTGCTTTCCGATCCATGTTGATCGTCAGGGGCGTGCTATCACCAAAATAGTATGATGAATTAAGCGATCTAATAAGACGTGCCAAAGAATCCGGTCGATCCTGTGTGATAACTTGCAATTGGATTTTCGGCGTATTCCAATCTATAATGTTTGATAGTAAATGAATTTATTATCAGCGATCCCTCCTTTCAGCTCTTCAATCGACATACGACTAATGAAAAAACCATGTAAATATCTAGCGCGTGTACTTACGTTTAAGCGCCTCAATCGGCAAATCCGCTAACCACATCAAGTATTCCACTTCTTTCAAAGGTATGACAATTTCAGTAACACCACCGTCTCTTTGGGGCGCCATCATGGCAGCTTTGATCCCGCGAATTGCATCAATCTCTAGCTCCCGAACGTATATCAAGATATCAGGTTGAATTTGATCTAGAATTTGAACCATTCCAAGGGAAACTTTTGTCAGAATGCCATCCCTCTCTGAACTTATGGCCAAAGTTTCCAAATCATGTATCAATACATTGCAATTCGACTCTTGTGCGTTCTCCTTTGACAATTTCTTCCCACTCAAACCACGTTTTTTGCCAGTTGTTATTATATGTACAAAGGCTTTTTCCAACTTTGAGAGTTGACAATAAATATATTGCAAATGATTTGTGTGTGTCTCTCCATCGACTACAAATGCTATATGTGTATCATTATTATTACGCTCTATTTTAGGTGACCGTGAGAAAGGAAAGGAGAGATCTCTCAGCAGCGGTATAGATATGTAAATAAAGATTAATATCAAGAATAAAATTGTAATGTTTTTAAACAATTTCGGGAATGACGTCAACCGAAAAGAAAAAGTCGTGTGTCTTCGATGGCGTTCGTGATAGAACATAATTGTTGTGATGAACCTACGGTAGAATAAGGAAAGGAGAGGAGACGGAGTGAATAAGGGGACGAGTGAAAGAGAAAGGGAGGGAGGTTCGACTGAAGTTCTGACGGAATGGAGATCGCACAGTAATTTCCTAAGAAGACGATTTTTAATTATAATTACCTGTTGGAGACCGGTCTACAGAAGAGTAAAAACAATGGTTGTACACGATCTCTTCGACACGACCAGTCAGTGATATTACGTAGGCAACACAATCATTTTAAGTAACCCTGGAAACGCTTCGTCCCCAGAATTTAAATAAGAGACTATTCAGGGGTGTGTCATTGCAATTGGTTGGTTGAATCATTTTCGAGTTTTTTTTAATTTTATTTATTATTCTTTTTTTTGGAGATTTAAATACAAAAAAAAGTTCGGAATTAATCAAAAGAAGGGAACTACTGCATTACAATTGAATTATAAGGAAAACATACAATAAACGGAAGACGTAAAAATGTAACTATGGTCTTGTTTTTATGTTGTTGCATTCTGAATGACTAATTTTTTTTAATGTTCTTTTGTATATGTATAAAAAAATCCTTCTATGTATATATATATCGCGCCGTCCGTTAATCATTGTGCGTCGCAAAAGAGTGTTATTTACAAAGATGGTGATAAATGCAAAAAACAAAATGATGAGTGAAAATCAGATGATTTTCCATGAAAGAGAACCACCAAGATCAAAGGATCTACAGATGTAAACAAAAAAAAGAAAAAGAATGGGATTCACGCGGAGTATTGCGATTTTATATACAATGTGAATCATTGTTTTTTTTTTTTTTTTTTTTTTAGAATAAAAGAATGTCAAATGAACATCTCGATCTAGAGCAATATGAAATTCAGTGGCGATGTCCCCCTTTTACTTTTCTGTCAGACTGTGCCTTCTACTAATCGAATCACCACCGGAAATTACCCTGTCGGTATAATCAAAGTAGTCTTCGTCTTCCGTAAATTCGGCAGCTGAATAGTGACCAATCAAGGGTAAAGAGCGATCCTCTCGATCCGAAAGGATGGCGTCTAACATGTACTCTTCGTTCTCTAATTCATTTCCTTCATTATCGGAGATGTGATGTTGATGCGGATGTCTCACTGATAATGAAGGGACTAATCTCTCAAAACTTTTGTGGCGAGGTTCGACGGTGCTTGCCGCTTCTTCACTTCCAAGACGACTTTGCACCCAATTTTCGCTCCCAGTACAAAAAGATGACGATTGATCATCTTCTTCCTCTGAGCAAACTTCGGAATGTTCTTCGCCATCCTCTACCACATTATTTTTTCTTCCGTCCTTCCCTCCAATGCTTACACTTTTTATGCTGTTGCTCTCAACACTACCACTATTGGTACTGGTCACGCTATTTTTTCGTTCTTTTATCGAAGGATTCTCTGTCAATTCGGCCAGAATAGCCCGACGTTTTTGTAGCGTGCGATGATGGCGATCTTCGTCATCATCGTCCAGTGGTTTTTGCTGCAACAGCAACGAAGGCCTCGGCATTAGTTGGTGCGGTTGCTTCTGTTGTTTCTGATGTTCGTTGTATCTCGCCTTACGTAGATCTTGATTCAGGTCACCTATGGTCTTTTGTTGTTGGGTGATGTTGGCACGAAGCAGTCGTACTTGCTTTTCGTGTTTCTCCTCGAGTTGCTTGACAGCTGTTTGCTTTTCAATTTCAGACTCTTGTAATGCAGATTTATACTTTTGGTTTTGTTCTTTGGTAGAAATGAGTTCGTTCTCTAATTCGGCAATGCGTTCTTTTAATTCCGAAATCCTGGAATCAATCACAACGGATTCGGTGTCAGATATTTCATTACACTCCATCGTGTGTTTGGTCTCCGTTGAAACAGAAATATCATCTCGATCTTCCATAGAACCAACTTTGTGAACATCTTCGAGATTCCTTCTGCTCAAACTCGAAGAGTCCATGGTACAATTACCCGATTGTTCTCTCAATGCTTGATTTTCTTTCCTTAATCTCAGTATTTCCTCCTCTTCCCTTTCTAACTGATCCATTGTTTCAAGAAATGTCTTTTGCAATTCTTTTCCTTGGGATTCCATCTCAGCCACCTTAGTTGTCCACACCTTCATCTCCTCGGTAAATTTGGATTGAGCTTCGCGAAGAAGGTTATTTAATTGAACATTCAACTTGGACTCTCTAACCAACGCATTTTTCAACGTCTGAATATCAGATTCGTGAGCTTGAATGTCTTCATTATATCTTTTTCGGAATTCCTGGAGTGATTCGTCATGTACTTTCTGTAATTCACGCCTCTTCGTGCGTTCCTTGTTAAGCAGATATAGCAATGACCTGGTGGTTAATGCTTCATCCACAGGACTGTTATTGTTGGAGTTTTGATGAACCTGTGACGATGACTGTGATATTGGACACGAATTCCTCTAGTAAATGGTTTTCATTAATGAAATATTTCGAACGTTAAAAATACACCATGTGAAAACGCGAAAACGATTTTCAAACATTTCAGCCGACACCATCAATGCAACAAGAAAGGAAAAAGTGTTAGTTTTTAGAAACTTACAAAAGTTGGTTTAAACAATTCGTCGTCGGTTTCCCAATTTCGACCACGTCTTATCCGCGAGTTCGGCACGCCGTTACTACTGTCTTCCTCTTTTATTTCGAACCTCCTGCCTTGTACGAAGGTCAAACCGAACGCAGAATTCACACTGTTGGCCCTCCATCTACTTGAAGTGTTTTCCAAAAACCTTTTTTCATAGGTGTCACTTTCCTCGGCCTCGTCAAATGACGAAGTGTAATCACGGTAAGCTCGTGTAGCATGTTTGGCGCGAGGAGAGGTTGGTGTTGAAGAAGTATACTCGGTCATGGTATCGTTGAAGGTATGATTATTAACATGGGAATGTCCTTTCGGAACTGTTGCTGTGTCGATTGGTATATATACTTTTAATGTTCTCTAAGGTTAAATGGGTGACCAGCTCCCGTATATAAAGCGAACTTATTAATATTATGATTAAAAAAATATATATATCTATGTCCTAAATTGTTCCAAAGGAAACAAGTCTATGATTATTCTTCAGTTGCCGTAAGGAAAAAGGCTTCCCAAGAGAAGTTTGATATAGAATAAATATTTGTGGCAGTTCTAATAATAATCATTTGGTATGTAAAAAAAAAAATTTTTTTTAAAGTTGAAGGGGCAAAAATTTTGTGATCTGTGATAATTGTGTACAGTTTGGTGAAAGAGCACAGACATAACAGTTTATACGGTTGATGAGTTATGTGCCGATAGGTAAATTGGAAATTAATTTTGTGTCACATAAAAAATCATACAAAATAATGCAGATTGATATTGAAAAAAATTTGGTGAGCCAATGAGAACGATTACGAGGATAATGTAACATTCCTATTGTACGTCAGGGAAATCTTTACACACCTAAAGAAAAGGCGTTGCATGAATAAACCGAATAAAAAGCTTTTTTTTTTTTTTATCATGATTTTGAAACTTTAAAAGGGAATTCTGGTGATTGTTCATGTGCGCATTGTTTTATTCTTCATAATATCTGAATGGTTCGATTCAAACATATGATATTTCGTGTTAAAGAATCGCTCTTCGTTCTTTGCACTCTCAAGATTACGCGTTTAGGTACAAGATGACAAGCTTAACACGTCACTAGGGTACCCGAGTGAACTTTTCTCATCGAAAACACGTACTACGCGTTGGTAGCACAAAAATATATACGTTCGTAGGCACCTTTCATTTCTGTGTTTTGTACGGGGTCGTGGTGGTACATACGTCAAAAAATTTGAGATTTACAGGAAAGTGAAACACTTGGGCAAACAATCAGGGGTGGGAGCAAAAAAAAAGACTGCTTGTTTGATAAAGAATGGACACCCACCGGAATTCTGTTTGTCAATTCTATCCAATTTTATACAATTTTATCTGTTGTTTCCGGTTTATCAATACCGCCATCCCCGGTTTATCGAGAGCAGACCGTGTTGCTTTTTGTTGTTGCAGCACTCTAACCAAAAATTCCAAACTTGTCGCAATACCTGTTTCATTACCTGACAGCAGATACGTATTGAATAATTGTGATATGAGAGAGAAAATGACCACCGAAGAATGCTTTCCGCATGTGGTCTCAAAGCCACACATCATTATTCCAGTTTTCACCGTAAACAAAGAAGCACACTCAACAAAGAAAATAAAATGACGGCCAATGGATCCGTGATTGATTTTTCTTCCCTCTCCTTGTGCTTGATTCTATATACGCGATCATTAAGGTATTTAGGATGCCTTTCTTTTCCCTTAAATCTTTATGAATGACGCCACATTTGTCAAAGTTAAAAGTGGCTTACGTTTTTTTATCGCATTTTTTTTTTTTTTAAAAAAAAACATTTTCTGATGCCTCATTATCTTTTATGCTTAACGGAATAGTTACACGAAATATAATAATTGAATTCGCAAAATCAAGTACATTTTCATTGGTTGTGTGTGGTGTGTGTAAAATAATAATATTTTTTGTCGAGGATAATGCGGAAATTTATACATACATAAATATATAATTTCAAATAATAATAATCTTAAAAACTTTTATAATAATAACTATATTTTAAATGATTTGCATCATTTTCAATAATTACTGTATTTATGTAAAATATATTGTCATTTGATCTGAAAAAACAAACAAATTACTGTATATACAATTTGTTACAAAAGTTTTTGAACTAATATTTTTTTAACATTATTTAAGAAATAATTATTTAATTTGTATTTTATAATTCAATAATAAGAAAATTTTTTTAAAAAAATATAATTGATTTTTAATTATTATAGATTGTTTTTCTTATATTAATTATAATAAATTATTATTTAATAGTAATTAATATTACAAGACCTTGGGTCTATAGTGTAATGGTTAACATTTCACAGATCAGATCACAAAATATCAGTTCAATCCCAGGTAAAGATGATTGAATAGAACCTATATAGTATCTGGTACCATAATCTGTTATATGCTGTTTCTTATATGAAGTCATTTCATATGCTGATTCAATATGTGTTGAGATTGTAATCTTCAGAAAAGGTATTGTGATGCAATGATCATCTGGTTGAAGCATAATAATTACCAAAAGTTGTTCTATAATGATAGGACTCAATTACTGAAATAAAAAGATCTTGAAGCTAATATATGAAACTGTGACTATTTGTATCCTTGGTATAATTATCATATAGCGAAATAGAGTATATAGGAGTTGCATCCTGCTTGGTATTCATACCCCTAAATTTGGCAGCTTACACTAACTAATCCATCTAAAGTGTCTACTAAGAGTTTAAGAGAAAACCCTTTAAGAAGTCATGCCCTACTTAATCAAAGTAATCTTTAAATTTAATAATTAGTGCCAACCAGCAGTCAAACTGAAACATTTACTAAAAAGTATATACTTATATTAAAGGTTCCAACTACTATATATAACATGTATATGATGGAAGTATAACATGATAAGTATTTACTTAAGTAGTTATAAGACTACCACATAGTGGTAAAAGCTAAGATATAAATTTACCTCCAGGTAAGGATGAGTCCCTAAACTATTTAGCATATAAAATTTCACAGATCAATTATATCCCTTTTGAAGAGACATAATTATTTATTCATTACTTTAATAGGGACATAATTCAAAAAACACTTGGATCAAGTGGC